TTTTAGCATTTTAACCTGTAACAACCATAGTTATGAAAGGCGAGCGCCTTGATCGCCTATGGCGTTTATGGCACTGTGGCGAGGCTATGGCACCTCGATTGGGCAGTGCATGGCGATGTCCTTGAGGCAAGGAATGGCGATCGCCATTTTCGATGCTAATTATGGCATATGGCGTTTGCAACTGACGCAATTAAGTTGTGGGTCAATTTTTTCACTGTCCAGGCTTCATCCAAGACATAGTTTGTAGTTGTAATCCAGGATATGTTTTTATACTCTAACATGCCTTATTCTTTTCTACTATTATGCACTTTTAGGCGTCAATTGTTTGTAGTTGTAGTCTAGGAGATGTTTTTATACTCTAACATGCCTTATTCTTTTCAATTTAATACGCATTTAGGTGTATATATAGTTCCGAAAGAAATTAGAAGGTATACAAGCAAATAATATAAAAATTAGGTGTAAAAAGCATCCTAAGTATAATTTAATGAATACGAAAAACTTGTTAGAGCATAAAGCATTTACTGGACCTACAACCATAAGATTTGTGGTTGAGGTTGTTCCTTAACATGGTATTAGAGCTAACCTAGAGGTCACAAGCTTGAACTTCACTGTCACCCAATTTTTTACTAAAAGTAATGTTCATTTTTAAGGCTTGAACAAAAACAAATATCGCGTGCATGTTAGGGCATGTTAGAGTATAAAACTTTTCATTGGCCTACAGTTACAAGTTTGAGCTTTTAGTTGAATTAGTTCATTGACATATTGTAACAATGCTAATACTCCATCCGTCCCTAAATAAGGTTCCACTTAACTATTCACATGGTCAAACCATATCTTCTTTCCTTATATATTTTCATTGATTATTTGATAAACCCAAATAGTCAAGATACATCTTGTTTTGTAGAACTTTTAATGTTTTGTTTAAATATACTACCTCTATCCTGTAATTATCTTATCACTTTCCTTTTTGGGTTGTCCTAAATTTTTCTTCCAATTTCTTTTCAAGAAATGAATATATGACCCTTATTTTTTCTCTTTTCTCTACACAAATCATTACCACACACATTCCACTTTATTAAAAATTGTGCCAAGTCAAACAAGGAAGAAAATCACGAGACATAGGGATTATAAATTTTATTTTTCATTTACACACTGATTTTCAAATAAATTGAATTAAAAATAATTTCAACCAAACATCGTAAACAGTAAATAACGTTTTTCATTTCACATCATTTTGTTTAATTCCACAATTTTTTATGGGACGGGGGGGGGGGGGGATTTTTCCACATCAATCTTTTGATTCCACACCAATTTTCTATGACAGATGGAGTAGGCATTAGGATTAACGTTTTTGATAAAAGCATACTCTTACCATTTTATTTTATAACATACGAGGTTACGACACTTTTTTTTAAAAAACTTGTAAATGCTAGCAAAACCCGCGAATAGACTGTTAATTATTATCTACTATACCGTATCTGCTAATTGTTGTTTACCAAACAAGCCCCAAGACTTCTACTCCACTCATACATTGATATGCATTGAGCCTGCAATAATTTCATTCTTGGTTTCTTGTGTGGCTTCTTATGGGTCTATTCTTTTCCTGTTATCCGAGGTCTAACTTTCCAAATGGTTTGGTTTCTTGTGATTTCTCTTGGACATCACATTAATTGTTTGGTCAAACTGTACTATGGATTAGTAAATCTGTGCTACAATAATCTTTTCTCAAATGCTCCATTTGCCTTTCTGTATGTGGTTAAGAAATGAGTATAAAAAGACAATTGTACGCCTCCCATTTATAAAAAAGAGAGTAAAAGTAAAGGGTACATGGAAAAATTCACACAAGAAATCCACTTCCATAAACTCCGCTCAAAAAGTTATAGTGAATTGTTTTCGAGGACAGGTGAGTTTTTTGTTTGAAGTCAAACCTTCTTTCTTACTACAACAACAACCCAGTGTAATCTCACGAAAGTAGGCTCTGGGGAGGGTCGGTGTACGCAGAAGCCGCAGACCTTGCCCATACTTGAAAGTAGAGACATTCTTTCATACTAAACATAGAAAATCTTTGTTCATATTAACATTTGCTCTTATTTTGTGTGATGGTGCTTCTTTGTTGGCCGGTTTAGTGATCATTGAATGAGTGGATAAAGTGTAGTGCATATTTGTTCGGATTTGTAAGTGACTTGTTTCATTGACAAGTTTGTTCATGACTTTGTGTATCCCAGTCTCTGGAATGGACAACAGAAAAAGGCCCGGGAATCTTTATTCTTCAGCAAACAGTATGCTTTATTTGGATCTCAAGGATATCATCAGGGAACATGCCCTGCCCAACCTTCCAGCTAAAGCACTGTTCAGATTTATGGCTGTTTGTCGAGACTGGAAGCTCCACATTTCAGCACCATTCTTTCACCACACGCAATCTCTTTGTTGCCGTGCAATATCAGGCATATTTTGTCAGGCTCATGGAAATCCTTTCTTCTTACCAATTCACCCAAATTCTTCAGGTGTTCCAGATCCATCTTTGAGTTTTCTGCCTGAGCCTGTTGACATTAAGGCCTCATCTAACGGACTGCTGTGTTGCCAAGGACGAAATGAATCCAGGTCTTACTACCTGTGCAATCCAGCTACAAAACAATGGAACAAACTTCCAAATCCAACTGCTTTTCATGGCCCTGATCCAGCACTTGTGGTTATCTTTGAACCGTCAGTGCTCAACTTTGTGCCTGATTACAAAGTCATCTGTGCCTTCCAATCTGCAGATTTTGATGATGCAATTGAGTTTGAAGTATACACCTCCAAGAGCAACTCGTGGAGTGTTTCCGGGGAGATCTGTTTTGGAGCAAAAAGGCGTGTGCTCGGGTCTGGGGTTCATGCAAGTGGCATTGTTTACTGGAACATTGTTGGGGGTGGCATAGTTTCTTTTGACCTATCAAAAGATAGGTCGCAACTTCTACAAAACCATTGCTATGATAGAAACTGCGTTTTGGGAACATATGATGGCAAGCTCTGTAAGGCTGCTATCAATGGCCTTTCAGTGTCTATTAGTGCTTTGGTTAATGTGCATACAAATACAATGCAAATGCAATCCAGAGAGAATATGTGGGAACGTGTAAAGATTGTTTCTTTGAATGGAAATATGTTTGACGGGGTGAATGCTACCAACTGCGACATTATTTCTTTCAGCAGTGATGTTCTGGTCCTTAAGTCTGGGATTAAGTTATATTCCTACAATATCAAATCCGGAGAAACTGCACCACTGAACCAGCCGGATTCACACTCATATAATGCTACTACATGTGTGCCCTACGTGAATAGCCTCGTTTCACTCTGAGCTTACTCTCAATTGATCTGATGTACTTACTGTCTCAAGCAGCCAAGATCCTAGTTTTATCACCGATCAATCTAAGACTATCATATATTTCTATCGTTTGTGGATGCTCTCTCTATCTCTGACTTTCTCACTTGTTTTATGGAGTATTTCAGTCTCGGAATTAATTGTGAAAGAAATTTCGTGTGTCAGTGGCATTTCATTCCATGTTGCTAATTCTTTTGATTACATGCAGTGTTATTTTTTAATCTTTGTTGATATGGGAAATGCTTTATATGCTTGTTTCCAGAGGCGGATCCAAGAATCGGGAAACATGGAGTCCCGTTTCTTAAATTGTGAACATATATTTATACTACATAATTATTCTCACGCTATAAAAAAACAATTGTTTATATGAACATTCAAAATATGATTCTCAAATGGAATTTTCAAAGTCATAACTTCTACATCTGACAATTTTCTAAAGATTAAATTTAGTAATTGGATATAATGATTTTCTTTTGTCAAAAGCCTCGAATTAGAACGAAATATTTTGACATATCCATAATTCTTCAGTATCACACTTTAAAAATGGAAGTAAATTGTAAAAAGAATACAAATAAAACAAAAAATAGATTTGTTTAGGTATTTTTCAAGGAAAAGTACTTGTAAAAATGCAATAAAAAATTGTAAACTCTTTGCATGCATCAAAATATTCTAAACCAACAACATTGTAATTAAATAACCGCAAAGAGTGCAAGTTTGAAGTTTAATGTTTTGCATTCAAAATAAATTAATTCTACGAAGTATATTTTTTAGGTTTTCTTGTAACAATGGAGAATAAGATCAAAATTGTATTGCTTATTTAGTACTCCGTACTAAAGTATGAGGATGGACGTAATTTTAGTAGATTGGAGGTTCTCATTTCATTTTTGATTTCCACTAAATTGTGAAAGCACTCATAAAAGAATTAAACTAAACAAATTTAAATAGCACGTGCATTTAGATAGTTTGATTGTCAAATTGGAAAAACTTTAATAATTATTTAATAACCCGAGTATTCATTTAAATTGAAATTCTAATGTAGCAATAGGTATTAATACAAAAAAAATACTGCCTAAAGAAATATAATAAAATATATTACAATAAAAATATTTTTGTAAAGTACTTGAAGAAAAAAATTGAGCTCAATAGAAAGAACAAAACTAATAATTATTTAAATAGCACATGCATTTAGATAGTTTGATTGTCAACTTGGAAAAACTTTAATAATTATTTAATAACCCGAGTATTCATTTAAATTGAAATTCTAATGTAGCAATAGGTATTAATACAAAAAAATACGGCCTAAAGAAATATAATAAAATATATTACAATAAAAATATTTTTGTAAAGTACTTGATGAAAAAATTGAGCTCAATAGAAAGAGCAAAACTAATAAATATTTAAATAGCATGTGCATTTAGATAGTTTGATTGTCAAATTGGAAAAACTTTAATAATTATTTAATAACCCGAGTATTCATTTAAATTGAAATTCTAATGTAGCAATAGGTATTAATACAAAAAAATACTGCCTAAAGAAATATAATAATGTTATGAAATTAATGATTGTTCATTTATTCAATTAATCAGGCCTACTTTCTACTAGTAGATTAAGACACCCATTGATGAGTATCAATTTTGTACAGTTTTTCCCACTTGTATTTGTATTCATACTAAGCCTCTCCACTATAAATAGAGGCCTAATCCCTGCATTGTAATCACTATTAAGAATAAGAAGAAGAGTGAAGAGTTAATAGAGAGAAGAAATCAGAAATATATTATATCTATTCTCATAATCTCTGAGTAGTTTTTCTCTCATTTTATAACACGTTATCAGCACGAATTTGCTCAAAATCCTAGAATCCTTGTTCTTCTCAAAAGGTATATTTATTTAATTTTCTTCATAAACAAACTAAAATATTTTCTTTAAAAACTATAAGGAGCATGCTCTGTGATTGCCCAAGATTGAGATCCTTCACACCACAAACTTATAGTTATTATAAACTGTGAAAAATATACTCCGCAAATAAATAGAAGTTGAATCATTTTTATTTCTCCTAGGATAATGGAATAAACAAGAACAGCTAAGGTTAAATAAATAAATAAATAAATAAATAATACCAAACTTTACTTCTGAAACAAGTTTTTTTTCTTCTCATATGTTCTGTAGACATCAATCTGTTTCTTTTTCCATACCTTTTGCAATACTTCGTACTATTTAAAAGTAGAGGTGGAGTGGAAATCCTACATCTTATTCTAATATTTGTAATATACTCCGTATAATATATATATATATATATGTATGTATGTATGTATGTGTGTGTATATATATATATATATATATATATATTATATATATATATATTCAACTAAAACTAGTGCTACTATATAATTGTAAATTGAGAATAATTACAAGAGACACGGGATCCAAAGTATATGATATGTCTATATTCACATGTATTTGAGATTCCTTATCTTTTGGTATGTGGTAAATAGTTTATCTTTAAAAAAATTTAAAAAACAAACATGATTAGATATACTTGGTTCTCATTGTTTGTCTACTAGTATGTGAGAGGAGAGAGTAGAGGTTTGATGCTCTATTACCTATTTCAAATGGAAGACATACTACATAGTACATACGGAGTTTTTAGCGTGATATGTTTGTCTCCTTTTATTTGATTGTTTTTCAAAAAAATATAAAATAAAATTAAAGGGAATCAAATTTTTTTTGTGTAAGTTAAGGGAAAAGAACTGCAGGCTCACAGTAGTTCACATGTCTGACATTTTTTCTAATTCATGTATTATTTATATTGTGATCTTACCTTTGATTTTTTTAAAGCTCTTGAATAATCAATACTTCTCCATACGTTTGGCAATTTTTTATTTGGTAAAATAATTTCTTTTCTACACCCATTCACTTAGTTTTTAACAAAGTAATAATAATAAAATTAAAATTTATTGTTTTGTAGTTTCAAATGGCCAACATCACCAAGAGAGAATTTGACATTCTTGATTTATCCGGTCAAAGGTACCTAGAATGGAGGGTTGATGCACTTGTTCACCTTAAGGCTAATGGCCTCGAAAATACAATTGCTGAAAATAATACATCATCTTCTCAGCAAAAGGCAAAAGCCATAATTTTCTTTAGCTGCCATATTCATGAAAGTTTAAAATCTGAATATTTACTTGTGGAAGATCCGAAGGAATTATGGGATAATCTCCAAGAGAGATATGATCATCAACAAAAGGTCTTACTGCATATGTTTGTGACTATAGTTCTGCTATTTTTAAAGTCACGTCCACATTAAAATTATGTGGACCTAATATCACCGATCATGACATGTTGGAGAAAACTTTTTCCACCATGCATATGTCAAATGTGATATTACAGCAACAATACAGAGAAAGGGGATTTAAAAAGTATTCTGAGTTAATCTCAGTATTACTTGTTGCTGAGCAGAATAATGAGCTCTTAATGAAAAATCATAACATCCACCGGTTGTAGCCCTACAAATTTTGGCCATCCTGATTGTGGTTCAACACCAGAATCAAATATTATCCAAGGTGGTGTATGCGGACACTTTAAACGTGGACGCGGAAATAACCACAACAAAGGGCCAAATAGGGGCTATAAAAATCCAAATGGATCATCCTCCAAGGGAAAAGGGAAACTCAAACCACCACAGGCTAAAATTCATGAAAAGCCAAAACCAAGTGGTGAATGCTATAAATGTGGCATAAAAGGACATTGGGCTAATGAATGTCGAACGACAAAACATTTGGTAAAATTATACCAAGCTTCCACAAAAGAAAAAGGAAAAAATGTGGAGGCTAATTATGTTGATGTGTCTGATTTCTACATGGATGATGCTGAAATTGGTGATGAAGTGGCCTTTGGTGGAACTACTACTATTTTAATATTTTAATTTGTGCTGTTATGGTGTGTTTACTTTTAAAATAAATGTTTAAAATCTGTACTTTAATTTTCATGTGTACTTGTATTATTATGTCTGTTCTAAAAATTATAATAAAATGTATGATATTTGTGTTAATTATCTTGAACTTATATTTATTTATATATTTATTTGTATTCAAGATATGGAGATAACTGCTTATGGCTCCAGTGGCAAAGAACAATGTCTTATAGACAGTGCCACAACGCACACCATTTTGAGAAACAAAGAATATTTTTTTTCAAATGACATTGATGGAAACTAATGTCAATACAATCTCTTGTGTTGCAAAGCTCATTGAAGGGTCTGGAATGACTTGTTTAATCCTTCTCCAAGAAACAAAATTAATTATTAAAGACACATTATATTCCAGCAAATCCCGAAGGAACTTATTGAGCTTTAAAGATATGCGTCAAAATGGTTATCACATTGAAACCATGACAGAAAATCAAAAGGAATACTTGTGTCTAACGACAACCAAATCTGGCAATAAAATTATTTGTGAAAAGATGCCAGCGTATTCCTCGGAGCTATATTATACTCACATTAGTCCCGTTGAAGTGAATGTTATCTCTAATAAAAAATTAGATGATCAAAAAATATTCATTTTGTGGCATGACCGTTTGGGTCATCCTAGCAGTGTAATGATGCACAAAATAATTCAAAATTCACTTGGACATCCATTGAAAAATATAAGGATTCCAAGATCAATTAATTTTCCATGTGTTGCGTGCTCTCTTGGAAAATTGATTGTCAGGTCATCTCTAAATAAAATTGGAGTTGAATCTCCTGCATTTTTAGAAAGAATTCAAGGAGATATTTGTGGGCAATTGCCCCACCATGTGGACCATTTCGTTATTTTATGGTGTTGATCGACGCATCAACACGTTGGTCACATGTTAGTCTTTTATCTACGAGAAATTTTGCATTTGCAAAACTCCTTGCTCAAATCATACATTTGAGAGCTTAATTTCCGGATTATTCAATAAAGAAAATCTGACTTGATAATGTAGGAGAATTCACATCCCAATCATTTAATGACTATTGCATGTCTATTGGGATTGATATGGAGCATCCAGTTGCTCATGTGCACACTCAAAATGCTCGTGTTGAGTCTTTAATAAAGCGATTACAATTAATTGCTAGACAATTATTGATGAAATCCAGTTTACCTGCATCTGTTTGGAGACATGCTATATTGCATGCTGCAAATTTAATTCGGCTAAGGCCTACTGCAAATCATATTTTTTCCCCATTACAATTGGTAACTGGAAAAGAACCAAATATTGCTCACATAAAAATATTTGGATGTGCCGTATATGTACCAATTTCTCCACCACATCGTACAAAAATGGGTCCTCAAAGAAAGCTGGGAATTTATGTTGGCTTTGATTCTCCCTCAATTATAAAATATCTTGAGCCCATGACTGGTGATTTATTCACAGCTCGGTTTGCTGAATGTCATTTCGATGAGACAGTATTCCCAACCTTAGGGGGGAGAAAATGAGAAAAAGGACCCATGTACGAAAGAAATTACATGGAATGCAACAAGATTATCTTTTCTTGATGCAAGAACAAATGCATGCGAACAAGAAGTGCAAAAGATAATTCATTTACCAAATGTTGCAAATCAATTGCCTAACGCATTCACGGATTCAAAGCAAGTGACAAAGTCACATATTCTTGCTATGAATGCTCCTGCTAGAATTGAAATTCCTTCAGAGAAAAATGAAAAAAATCTTGCAAATGAGTCTTGAATACGCAAAAAGCGTGGCAGACCACTTGGTTCAAAGGATGTAAAACCAAGAAAACCCAAAAGGCAAGAGACAATGTTTGAAACAAAAGACGTTCATTCTTCAAGGAAAGAAAATGAACAAATCGAGCATGTTGAAGATGTGAATAATTTAGATGAAGATAGAAATGTTGATAATTATGAGATTTCAATAAATTACGTTTCTACGGGATTGTAATGGAAAAGAAAAGATGTTCATGTTGATGATATATTCGCATATGCCATTGCCACAAACATCATGGATGAAAATGATGACATTGAGCCAACTTCAGTTGATGAATGTCGACGTAGACATGATTGGCCAAAATGGAATGAAGCAATTAAGGCAGAATTGAAATCACTTTGAAAACGAAGTGTTTTTGGGCCTATAGTTCCTACGCCAAAAAGCGTGAAACCAGTTGGTTTCAAATGGGTTTTTGTGCGTAAGCGCAATGAGAAAAATGAAATTGTGAGATGTAAAGCCCGACTCGTTGCCCAAGGGTTTTCTCAAATCCCGGGGATAGATTATGAAGAAACTTATTCCCCAGTAGTTGATGCAACTACATTGAGATTTTTGATAGGCATGTCTGTCTTTGAAAAACTTGAAATGCGTTTAATGGATGTAGTGACAGCATATTTATATGGATCTCTAGATACGGACATATATATGAAAGTTCCTGTAGGCCTTAAATTGCCTAAGGTTTATAGTTCAAAACCTTGAGAGATGTTTTCCATAAAATAGGAAAAGTCACTATATGGACTAAAACAATATGGCAAAATGTGGTTTAATTGTTTCAGTGAATATCTCCTCAGAGATGGATACAAAAATGATCCAATTAGTCCATGTGTTTTCATCCGTAGATCTAAATCAGGCTTTGCCATTATTGCAGTATATGTTGATGATTTAAACATAATTGGAACTTCTGATGAAATAGAAAATACTACAAAATATCTCATGAAAGAATTTAAGATGAAAGATCTTGGGAGAACAAAATTTTGTCTTGGTCTTCAAATTGACCATTTGAAAGACGGTATATTCATCCACCAGTCAAATTACACGAAGAAGGTTCTGAAGCGGTTTTATATGAATAAAGCACATCCTCTCACATCCCCGATGGTTGTCCGCTCTCTCAATGTACACGATGATCCGTTCCGACTTCGTGAAGATGATGAAGAAATACTCGGTCCAGAAATACCATATCTGAGTGCTATTGGAGCATTGATGTATCTAGCAAACAACACTCGACCAGATATTGCATTCTCAGTGAACTTGTTAGCCAGACACAGCTCGACCCCGACTAGGAGGCATTGGAATGACATTAAACATATTTTGCGATATCTCAATGGCACCATCGACCTTGGTTTATTCTACCGCAAAGATGCCAAGGCCACTCTTGTTGGATACGCTAATGCAGGATATTTGTCTGATCCGCTAAAAGCAAAATCTCAAACAGGATATGTGTTTACTAATGGAGATACCGCAATATCATGGAGATCGATGAAGCAAACTTTGACTGCCACATCATCAAATCACGTGGAGTTGATAACTCTCTACGAAACAGGTAGAGAATGTGTATGGTTGCGATCAATGATCCAACATATCCAGAGCGGGTGCGGTATAGAAACAATTACTAGTCATCCGACTCCTATATATGAAGACCATACTGCATGCATTGCTCAAGTGAAAGGAGGTTACATCAAAGGAGACCGAACAAAGCATATATCCCCAAAGTTCTTCTCAACACATGATCTTGAGAAAGATGGAAAGATTGACATCAAGCAAATCAAGTCCAGTGAGAACCCCGCTGATTTATTTACAAAAGCGTTGCCCCCAAAGAAATTTGAAGAACTCGTACACAAGATTGGCATGCGTCACCTCCGTCAATTATGCTAAGCTGAGGGGGAGAATTTTATGAACTATACTATTTTTCCCTTGATCAGGTTTTTATCCCATTGGGTTTTTCCTGACAAGGTTTTTAATGAGGCAGTACATAAAATTAGAATGTGTTCCTAAACTATGCCTATTTCACGAAGTACTCATCATTAATTGAAAAATGAACATTCAAGGGGGAGTGTTATGAAATTAATGATTGTTCATTTATTCAATTAATTAGGCCTACTTTCTAGAATAGTAGATTAAGACACCCATTGATGAGTATCAATTTTGTACAGTCTTTTCCACTTGTATTTGTATTCATACTAAGCTTCTCCACTATAAATAGAGGCCTAATCTCTGCATTGTAATCATTATTAAGAATAAGAAGAAGAGTGAAGAGTTAATAGAGAGAAGAAATCGGAAATATATTACATCTATTCTCATAATCGCTAAGTAGTTTTTCTCTCATTTTATAACAAATAAAATATATTACAATAAAAATATTTTTGTCAAGTACTTGAAGAAAAAATTGAGCTCAATAAAAAGAACAAAACTAATTAGGAGAAGAGATTTGAACTCAAGACCACACATTTCAAAGTTCATTCGTGCCTCCGCTACACTGCTCTAATATTCATCACTATGTCTGTTTCTTTAAATATATATACTAATCATATCAGAGTACCTAATATATATAGGATCCTACGTGGATCCTGTTGAGATATTTTTGATTAAATAATTGAAAAAAAAAATTGATTACTAACAAATACAACACACTACAAAATAACCTATACAACATCGATCTCCTATCCAGCTACTCTAATCCTAGTTTTCCAAAGGTTCCTATCTAGGGTCATATCCTATATATATATATATATATATATATATATATATATATATATATATATATATATATATATATATATATATATATATATATATATATATATATATATATATATATATATATATATATATATATATATATATATATATAAACCCCTGAAGGTGTTTATCGTGGATCAGCCATTTTTTGCGTCGTGAAGCCCAACACCATGCTTGAATATGTTTAAAACATTGTTGGATGATACACTCCTCGGTGTGGATTTGGCCTTTATGAATTGCTAAATTCCTTGCCTTCCAGAGGTGCCAAGCGATGACACCGGGCATAATCACTTGAAGAATCCCTTTGAAGGAGAACGTATCACCGGAGAACTACCAACTGATGAAAATTTGGTTAAGTTTGAGGTTGGGCGCTGACATGGGAGCATCGATGAGAGTGCAAAAATACTTCCAGACCTGGTAACCAAACTTGCAATTTCCAAGAGTATGGTCTAAGGAGTCTTCTGCTTGCTTACATAGCAGACATTGGCTGGAGAGACAGGAGCTGAAGCGCTTGGTTAATTCAGGGAAGGGTAGGCTGTTCATGAACGCTTTCCATTGGAAGACTCGGAGTTTAGGGGTCTGGGATTTATGCCATATGTACTTGCACGAAAGCCGGGAAGGTATTACGCCATAAAGAGAAAGGAGGATATTCTTGGAGGAGAACGGTTTCCCATCCCAAAGTGGAGGTTGCACAGAATCATTAATGTGAGTGACAACGAAGGAGTGAACCCGGCAAATTCTCTTCCATGGCGTGGAATCAGTGAGCTTCTCTTTGATTGTCCCCTTGCGCATGTAAATGGCTTGCATGGTGTTAGCCAAGACACCCGTATCATGATTCACCCGCCACCAAAGGTTGATCAATTGGTTCTGTTGAAGTGTGTGAAGATCCTTAATATCCAGCCCACCAGCGCTTGAGGGTTGACAAAGATTTTTCCAGCTCTTCCAGTGGTGTAGTTGGCTGCTGTGCCTTCTTCCCCAAAAGAAATTGGCCATCCTAGTATGAAGAAGATTGATGACAGCCACCGGTAGGGAGTGCACGGCTAGAATATGTAGGGGGATGGACGAAAGCATGTGCTTGATGAGTATCAACATCCCATTTGGTTCAGTGTTTTGCTATACCACGAGTGAATGTGCTTGTCAAAGTGGTCCATGAGGTTGCCACAGTGGTATTTTTTAAGTTGCCCTTTGTAGATGGTAGCTCCAAGGTAGGTGAAGGGTAAGGTTCTTAAATGCATGCCCAGAATTTTTTCCATGTTCTGCAGGTGGGTACTGTTTGTGGTTTCTTTGACGTAGAACTTGCTCTTGGCTGAATTAATGACCTGACCAGAATCTGAAGAGTATTCATCCAGTAGCTTCCTGAGTTTGAGAAGATTGATGGAGTCACCTTTAGTAAAGATCATTATGTCATCAGCATAGGTGAGGTGGCCTATAAACTTCACACTTCCCATGTTGTAAAGGTGGATATGGGATTCCTCCATGCTTCTGTTAAGTAGCCGAGACAAACCTTCACTTGCAATAACGAAAAGAAGAGGCGAAAGAGGGTCGCCTTGCTTGACACCCCTAGTCATGGGAAAGTAGCCAGCAGGTTGCCCGTTAATGAGGACTGAGAGCATACGGCCTCTAAGCTTAGCCATGAGAAGGCTAGCTGCTTTGTTGCTAAAACCGAACTGAAGAAGATTCGCCCCAAGGTTGTCCCACCGTAGGGTGTCAAACGCCTTTGCCATGTCTATTTTAACGATGACGTTTCCTCCAAATGTTTTCCTGTTCAAGTTGTGCAAAGCTTCCATAGCAAGGAGAATGTGGTCACACATGCACTTCCCTTTTTGAAACGCCGCTTGATTGTTAGAGATAATCTTAGGGAGGATGGTTTTTAACCTGCAAGCTAAAATTTTAGTATTAACTTTGCTCATAAAAGTAGTCAAGTAAATGGGCCTGTAGTCGTCGAAGCTTTTGGGGCAATCCTTCTTAGGGATTAAAGTAACAAGGGTGTTTCAAAAAGCATGTGGGATGGCAAACCCTAAAAAGATTTCTTTGGAGGCTTTAAGCATGTCTTCCTTGATGATATCCCAAGTGGTTCTAAAGAAAAGGCCGTTGTAGCCGTCAGGTCCTGAGGCGCTGTTGCTGTCTAGATCCCAAACAGCATTTTTGACCTCCTCCAAGGTGGGGAGGGCAGTAATCATGGTGTTTTCCATCTCTGAAAGGAGGGAAGGTATATGAGATAGGTTGTGCAAGGGGGGTGGTTCGGCATGGGCCATGATCTGGCTGGAAAAATGGGTTATTGCCGCATCACGAATCTGGGAACTGTCTGATAGCCCAATACCGGAAGGAGAAATAATATGATTGATAGCAAGATTCCTTCTCTTGCCATTGGCAAAAGCATGGAAGACCTTGGAATTCATATCCCCATGTTCTAGCCATTTGGAATTAGCTTTTTGTTTCCAATAGACAACTTCTTATACGGTTGGCCTCCGTTGGGTTATCTTCGTATAGCTGCTGGGTGGTATTGGCATAAATATCAGCATTCTTGAGGTTATCTAAAATATGACCGAACTCATCCATGTTCCAAGCCTTGAGACAAGTTTTGAGATCCTTGAGTTTGGCAACAAGTCCATGCATACCGCCAACAATAGGGCTTTTGGTCCAGCATTCCTTGACAACTGGAATGAAATTTGTGTGGTGGATCCAAGGGTTTAGAAATCTGAAAGCTAATGGGCCTTTATTACTGCTGACCGAGCAAGAAAGAAGGAGGGCTTTGTGGTCACTGCAGGCTCTAGGGAGATGTTGTAGCTCAAATTCGCTGAAGGTGGATTGGAAGGAAAGGTTAACCAGAATACGATCAAGGCTACGCCAAAGTTTCCTAGAGCTTCTAATGCCACTCCAAGTAAAAAGACCTCCAGAGGGTTCCGGGCAGATTAGATTGCAGGATTCAATGCAAGAATTAAATTCATCCATGCCTTGAGTGTTTGGGCAAATCTGACCTTTGCTTTCCTTAAGGGAGGAGATCACATTAAAATCCCCCCCGACCACCCAACACGAGGAAAGGCTGCTTTTGTGTTGAAGGTTTCTCCATAAATTCCGGCGTCCCACTACCGTATGAGAGCCATAAATACTAGAGATGAGAATGGTGGAGGACGGGGAATTAGGGAGGGAGAAAAGGCAGTGAGAAACCTGATCTTCGTCCTCAGCACTAATGAAGAGTAGTTGGTTGGGGTCCCAAAACATCCATCTTTTATTGTTGTTAGAAGATAAATGGCTGGGAAAACCCAACTTGAGGCTGTAGTCAGGGAGTTCTGAAGCAGAGACCTTAGGTTCAATAATGCAAAGAAAAGATGGGTTGTGAATCCTCTTAAGGGAACGAAGTCTGTCAAGGGAAGAGGCCACCCCGCAGACGTTCCAAAAAATAATCTTCATTGGGAAACCTGCCAAGAGACTTTCTTACTGGATTTGCTTCGGGTCTCCATGTTGTGAGTTTGACGGGGCAACGAAGACTATCTGAATTTCTGGAAAGGTAGTGAATTGGGGCTGCAGTGAGAGGCATCCATTGCGAGAGGCCTAATCTCTGAGGTATCAAAAGGGCTATCTTCTACATGACCATCAGAGTGACAGTAGAGGGGGTTAAGATCATGTTCCTTCTCCTGGACATCTTCATCCAATTGAAGTAGGATTTAGAGACCCAAAAGTCATCCTTACTAAAGGAAGCAAGGTTGAAGGGCTTTAGGGAAGGAGAGATGAACGGTATAATGGCCAAACAACCATCCAACGAAGGTTCGTGCAAAGGCTAGGGGGAGGGGAAGGGGGAGGGTGGTCCACTAGAGGTAGCCTCATCTTCAGGAATATCCTCAATGGTAGGCAACAAGAGGGAGTTGTCGAGGGTAGGATTTTGGGATGGGTTTGGGAGGGTGTAGGGTTTGAGGGATTGAAAGGGGGAGTTTGTGGGAGGGGTTTGTGTTGGGTTTGGTTGGGTGTCTGCTTTGAGGGGTTGAGGGAAAGTGGATGGGCCACCAAAAGAAGTAGTGGGAGCAGAAGAAGTTTGGATGGAAGTGTTTGGTATGAGGCTAACTGCGCAGTGTGTAGCGTCTGAATCCTGAAAGCAAGGGGGGTCCCCACAGCCTGTTTCAGTTTCCTGCCCTGGCGTCGTGTTCCTCTCACCTCTTTCCAAACAGAAAGATCCCTGGATTTCCCCTCTCCAATGTGCCCCACCTCACTGAATCGAGCAACTCCGGTGAGGTTCAGACCACTTCTTTTCCGGCAAGCTGAAGTGGAGTGACCAAATATAGAGCAAAAAGAGCAGTAAGCTGGGGGGTTTTCAAACCCGCAAGGAACACGAATGTGCTTGCTCCCAAGACGGATGTGAATATGGTCAGGAAAAGGGAGAGAAAGGTCTCTTTCAACACAAAATCTAGGCTTGGACGGATAAACTCCAATTGAAGTGTTGGAATCCACATTAATAGGCTTACCAAGAAGTGATGCAACCTGGTATAAAGCTGTGTGGTCATTGAGGTGAGCAGGGAACTGGTTAAGATGAACCCAAACCGGAAAGATTAGAGATTCTTTGGCCGGCGAGTAGGAAGGTGTCCATTTAGAGATGGTGATGATGAAACCTTTAATGGACCAACGCCGGCGAGAGAACCATCATAGATAGTCTCCCTCCCGTTTGAAAATGAAGAGTATATCTCGGTTGCTGATTCTGCGCAATTTGAACTTGCTATAACAACCCCTGACGAGGAAGTCCTCAAGTTCTTGGATGTTAGCTCTGGAACTGCAACGACCCACAAGGCTGAAGGAAAGGGTTTAGAGCGGTAGAACAAATATATATATATATATATATATATATATATATATATATATATATATATATATATATATATATATATATATTTATTTATTTATATATATAAAAGAAGTTGTTACATCACATGCAATGGCTCCTATAGAGCGTTTTGGGAGTGAAATTAATGAATGAAAATTACTAAAGGTATTCTCTTGCAAAGCGTGTTGTGCCAGATGATGTGCCGCTGTATTAGCTTCTCGAAAGATATGATTGACCCGTCCCCCAGACCGATTTATCATTTCTCTTGTCATCCTTGTGAAGAAATCATTGTTGGAGTATTTTGTTAAAATGTCTGCGCAAATTTTGGAGTCAATATAGAGATTGACCGGGCAGTTAAGAAACAAGCTTCTACGTACTCCTTCGTATGCTGCCTCCATTTCTATCTCATCTGGTGGGAGGTTTGGTTGTAGAGGATAGGTCCAAGCAATGAGAAATTGGCCGTGCCTTGTGCGCAGGATGCTGGCTCCAGCTGATCTTCCCTCCCTGATTGCCTCGTCTGTTGTAAGTGTTACTCCAGTGGCTGGGAATACCCATCGATGTACAGTGATTGCGCCCATTCTAATTGAAGGTAAACTGTCATAAATTTTGATATCCGGTGTTGTTTTTCCTTTATGGTGGATGAAAATCCATTCGTAGATCTGTTTTGTGATGATTGTAATTTTCTATGTCAAGGTGTGTTCTTCTTCCTCGTAGATCCTCCTGTTTCTTTCTTTCCATATCTCATGGGTTATGATTCCTGGAATGATATTGAGGAGTGCTTTGTTGTGCTTTTTCAGTGCACCTTGTTTCCACCAATTTGTCAAGTAGGTTAGGATTCCATGGCTGGTATTCCTGCAAATTGAAAATATTTGTTCAAAGTAGTTCCAGATTTGGTTGCTAAAAGGGCAGTTCCTGAATAGGTGGGTGGTAGTCTCGTCACTGTTCCTGCACAAGAAACAAACAGAGGGGAGTTGAAATCCCAATCTAGTTAGTGAGTGGGGAAGGGGGAGGTAGCCAAAGCACAGTTTCCAAAGGAAGATAGAGTGTTTAGGGCTTTGTTTGGAGTTCCAGGAAAGTTTGGTGAAGGGGTGATTGGGTTGTTTCTCTCTCAAAGAATTCTTTGCCTTCTTTAAGCTGAAACCAACCTCTCCATTATGCCATAGAATTCTGCCCTGGGTGTCAATGCTCAAGTGGTTATCTTCCATACTATTGACCTCATAAAGCCTTTTCCAGTAGACTGAGTCAATGATTTTTGGGGCTATGGAGAGTCCCCTAGGGTATCTAGCCCTCATGAAGTTTGCCCAAAGGAAGTTGTTCTGAGTATATGTCCACCACATTTTGAAACCATAGGCAAGTTGCAGAGTGTTGAGATCAGTGATTCCCAACCCACCCTCATCCTTAGGAAAGCATAGCTTCTCCCAAGAGGACCAATGGTACTTCTTGTTGTCTTTGTCATGGCCCCAAAGAAAATTATTCATTTTGGAATGGAGACATTTGATGATGCTCTTAGGAAGTTTACTGCAGCCCAACATATGCAGTGGCATGGTGTTAAGGACATGCTTGATGAGGGTTAACCTTCCACTCTGACTAAGCAGCTTATGGTACCATCCTTTAAGTTTACTGTCAAACAAGTTAAGGATGTCATTGCAATAGGGTTTTCTGTTGATTCCATGATGGATTTGAATGCCCAGGTATTTGAAGGGGAGGATGCCTTTGTTCATTCCGAGGATGGTTTGAATTCTTCTTTGGGTAGCCAGGGGGGTCTTCTTAGGGATGTAAAAAGAGCATTTTCCCCGGTTGATTTGTTGACCAGAGCAGTCCTCATAGTCTGAAAGTAATAATTTGATGCTAGTGACAGTAGGGGAATCTCCCTTAGTGAAGAGTATAAGGTCATCAGCAAAGGCAAGGTGGGTTATAGGGGTGTAGTGCCTGCCAAGATAGTATGGGGAGAGGGCTCCAGAAGTAGTTTCCTTCTTGATGGTTCTGCTGAAGGCTTCAGATGCAAGGATGAAGAGTAGAGGGGAGAGGGGAGAGAGGGTCTCCTTGTTTCAATCCTCTTTTAGGTTTGAATGCTTTAGTGTGATGGCCATTGATCTGGATGGTGAAGTGAGAGCTGTGGAGTAGGTTTTGGATGAGGGCCTGGAAGGTATTGTTGAAACCAAATTTGTCTAGGACAGTGATAAGGAAATTCCAAGAAATTCTATCAAATGCCTTAGACATGTCCAGCTTGATGGCAAGATTACCCCCCCTAGTTTTGTAGTCAAGGCCATGGAAAAGTTCTTGTGTGAGGAGGACCTGGTCATGGATCACCCTTCCTTTTACAAACCCCCCTTGTTCAGGTGAGATCAATCTGGGAAGAATGGAGCTCAATCTTTGGGAGAGGATTTTGGAGAAAATCTTGCAGCAGAAATTGGACAAGCAAATAGGTCTATAGTCCTCACAGGATTGAGAGTTTTCCTTCTTTGGGATTAGGATGATAGTTGTCTGGGCACATATTTTGGGGATAGGGATCCCCAAGAAAAACTCCTGAACAACTTTTGTGCAGTCCACTTTGATTTGCTCCCAACAAGTTTTATAGAAATGACCATTAAACCCATCAGGTCCAGCAGCACTGTCTGCTGATAGTGACCAAACATCTTCTTTTACTTCATTTTCATCTGGAAGGGAGGTGAGGCTGCTGTTGTCCATCTGAGTGATAAGGTTAGGGATATTAGAAGTGAATCTGTCATTGTGGGATTCTTTATACATGAAAAGGGTGTTGTAGTAGTTGAGGATTTCTTCATGGATCTCATCCTGGTTATGAAGCCATTTTCCATCTTTAGTCTTGAGACTATTTATCTTTTGTTGGCTTCTTCTTATTTTGACAGTGGAGTGAAAAAAGGCTGTGTTAGCATCTCCTTCTTTTGTCCATTTGATATTTGCTTTTTGTTTCCAGTAGGAGTACTCTTGTTGGCTAGCAGCAATAAGTTTAGCCTTTGTTTCCTGCATGAGAGTTCTCATTTCTGGGGTTGGGTCAGTGTCAAATTGTTCTTCAATTACTTTCAGTTCTCCTTCCAAAAAACTGACCCTGTTGAATATGTTACCAAAAGTGTTCTTGTTCCATGAATAGAGGATGTGTCCTAGGTTTTTCAGTTTGTAACCCAGTCCTCTCATCCCTCCACCTACATAGGGGCCCCAGTTATTGCTGACAGTAGACAGGAAGCTGTTGTGAGTGCTCCAACAATTGATATATCTGAAGGGTTTGGGGCCAGTAAAATGGAGGTTGCTGAGCTTGATTAAAAAAGGGTTATGGTCAGAAGTATTCCTGGGCAGGTGGTTGCAGGTGATGTCCTGGAAAGAATTAAGAGTATGGTTGTTGTGAAAAACCCTATCAATCCTTCTCCAAATTCTACCTAGGGACCTTACACCTGTCCTAGTAAAGGTAGGGTTGTTAAAGAATTAAGAGTATGGTTGTTGTGAAAAACCCTATCAATCCTTCTCCAAATTCTACCTAGGGACCTTACACCTGTCCAAGTAAAGGCATCCATTGCCAATGGGTGAGATTAGAGAGGCATCCATGATACATTTGTCAAAGTCATGGATGCTCCTAAGGCAAGGGTTGTTAATGCCTTTGTGATGGTCCACTGAGGAGATGCAGTTGAAGTCTCCCCCAATCACCCAAGGATTCTGCATGTTAAGGCTTGTAGAAGTGATGTCATGCCATAGCCTTTGTCTGTCTGTGACTGAGTATTTCCCATAAACAGTAGTGATGGTGATGGGGCTGTTATGGGTAGTGAAATATATGTTGATAGCCTGATCCATCTCCTAATGATGTTGATAGATTAGGTTATCATCTTTCCACATGACCCAGACTCTGTTTTCCAGAAAAGACCTAGAGTGACTGAAGCCCAAGGTCAGTTGGAAATGAGTGAGTTTCTTAGCAGTGGTTTTGGGTTCCATGATGGCAAGGAAAGAGATTTTGTGTGTGGCAATAAGGATGGCCAACCTCTGAAGCTTAGAGGGTAGACCACATATGTTCCAGAATAGGACATTCATTGGGAAAAGTGTTGAGGTTGATTGTGTGATGAGAACTTCTCTTGCAATCTCTTTGATTTCCTTACTACTGTTGTGAATGGTTGTTCATGGATGTCCTCTTTTGTCCTAACCTGATAGTCTTTGTTTTCAGGTGTTCCTTGTTGTTTACTGGCTGAGGAATCAGTAGTGGAGGGGTGAAGGTGGAGCTCAGCAGAGGGGAGATTTTTCAGGGGTTCATGTTTCTGTGGAGTTTCTGTATCTGAGAGGTAAATGGGAGTTAAAGATAAATTTTCTGTGTGTAAATGCAGGTCATCAAAAGAGGTGAGGGGGGGAGTAGGGGGTTGATTTGCTGTAGATTTGAGTTGCTGATTTTCTTCCCAACTCACCAAGCATTTGGCAAGAATATCATTGTGGACCAGGATTTCCCAGTCAGCTTCCTCCAAGAAGTTTTCTGGGGGTGGTTGAGTTGTTGAGGGTTATTGGGCTTGGCGTAGGTATTTCAGTGGGTGGGGTGGATTGTGTTGAAGTGGGTTAGCTGTTATTTGGGGTGAGGGTTATTGGGCTGGGTGTTTCAGTGAGGGAGGTTTTGGGCTGTGGAGATAGGGAGTTATTGGGTTGGGTTGAAATGGGTTTTGAGGTAGAAGGGATGGATGCAGAAGTGTTACTGTCGTGGATTAATATGGAAGTGTTATTATTGCTGGCTTTGGGATTAAGTGGTGGGGTGGGATGATTGTTTGGCACATGGTTTTGGGTCCCTCCTGAATTATATTTGGGCAGGGATGGTTTTTTGGCTTGGAGTGTTTGTTTGCCTGACTGATTGGAGATGGGCTTGTATTTTTGCTGCATGGAGGTTTCCAGGGGTATTTTTCGGCCATCAGTGGTTGGCCTGAGTTTTCAAGTTTTCAACACTATATATATATATATATATATATATATATATATATATATATATATATATATATATATATATATATATATATATATATATATATATATATATATATATATATATATATATATATATATATATATATATATATATATATATATATT